CCAACTTGGCCGAAACTTGCAATTGCAAAGTTTCGGCCAAGCTGGCCGAAATTAGCAATTGCAATTGCAAATTGCAATTTGCAATTCCCATGCAAATTTGGCCTAACGTGGCCATTTGCAATTCACTTGCAAATTTGGCCTAACGTGGCCGAGACTTTGAAACTTACAGTTTCAATAGTTTCGGCCACTTGGCCGAGTGGCTTTGTTGGAAAATGAACACCGAAAGTTTGGGATTTGATTTACACCCCCTACGCGTGAGAGAGAGACTCTATGCTATACAATTTAATAAGCTTAACAAGAGCTCATGTATAAATAGTGGGGCAAATCCTCTTCCCAAACCAATGTGGGACAAAAGCTCACTTTTTCCCTTCATTTTCCAACTCAAATGGGTCTACTTTGAGAATCAATATCTCATTCACCCATTATCCGTTTTGAGCGTACAATATATCAATCTCTTCGTCTCACTACGAAGAACCCGAATCCACTTGACCCGACCCAAATCGGAAGTGGACCCCACTGATAATTGTACCACAAAATAGCCACTTAATATGCCATTTTATGCCATTTCAAGCTATTTTTTTCCAACAATCCCCCCACATGAATGAAAAATTGATTTTCGGGGTATTTGAAATCGGAAAAAACTGTGTTCAAACGGTCGATCCTGCATAGGATAGGTAGGGAGTCACTATACCCTTTGAACCTTCCCTTGTGAAGATATATTTACTCTACTGGCTGTACGGTAGAACGCGATGTCTTTGAACCGACTGCCGTTTGTGTAGACGATGACATATCTCACACAGGAACCTCCCAACCATGCTCTGTTCTCATGAGTGTGCCCATTTTGGTCGTGGGTCACCGTTCCTGGTTCTGCGAGAGTTTCTAAAGAATTGTGCCCAACAATTCTCCTTTGAAGCGACCCTCACTTCTCTCTTACATAGGTGATTCTTTCTCGGAGTATCCCGCATACTCAAGAATCATTAAAGCATCAACATGCTAGCCTCGTGCGGGAGTCACTGTTTCTAACGAGGAGTGGTAGGGAGTCCGAGACCCCCACAGTGACACGCTCCGTTCCATAATTTAGTTGTCCCATTGAACCTAGGTGCCAGCTAGGTTGGGTATCCACTATAGACTTTTAGTCCAAGGGCTTTAGACCCATTCCTCATTCCAACTTCTCAACAACCATTTGCTTACCCTCGGGTTAGCGAGTTAGCGGCCGCTACGTTATCTTTTGACATCACGTAGTCAATAGAGATAACCCCCGTTGTGAGAAATTGTTTAATGGTATTATATCTACGACTTATAAGTCTAGACTTACCATTCCACATTTAACTCTGTACTTAACCAATTTTGGCTTGACTATCGCAATGCACACAAATTGAAGTATGAGTTCACACACTAGGACCATTCTCGAAATAATGGCTTAGCCATTCGGCCTACTCGCTCGCGGACACGAGTGTAAGGCTCTCAGCTTTGATCCCCGGTCGGATCTTAGCTATCACAAAATCATTTCGAGAATTTCCGTCCAACCGACTGCACTGGCCTACGTAAAGACGTAGCTTTTGATGGACTTAGCGTCCTTTGATATCCGTGCTATACTTTCCAAGTACGGCTAGATATCCCACGTTGTGGCAGTCCAAAGTCATAAGCATACATAAGTATCTCATAACTTCCACTATTGCCTTCTAGTGCGTAACACTAGGGTTACTCGTATGTCTACCGAGTTCGTTAACCGCAAAGGCAATGTCCGACCTAGTACAACCCATTGGATACAATTAAACTACCAATAATCTGAATGTATTCTCCATGAGAAGTACAATACTCGTGATTATTGGCTAGTTGTACGTTAGTATCTAACGGTGTCCAAGCCACTTGATTAACATCCTTTGCAAGGATTTAATCAACACAATGAAATTGGCTTAACACGAGACCATACGGTCTTCTCACAATTTTAATCTCAAAGATTAAATCTGCCAAACTCACACCTCTCATGTCAAATCTCGAATTTAACATGTTCCTGGTAGAATTGATCATTTGATCGTTACTATCCACGTTGAGTTTATCGTGTATAAACAAACAGTGATTTCACCGTCTATCGTATATGTTACGTAGACTCACTTGTCACTTTTATTTATACTAAACTCGTTGGTCATCATTGCACGATCAAAACCTCACATGCCACACTAAGGCAATTGTTTCGAACAATACAATGATCTCACCAATTACACACTTTCTTTTCACATCGTGGAACCACAAACCCTCAGGTCGTTCCATGTATACTAAGAAAGCGACACATCCATTTTGATGACCTTCCAAGTCTCGCTAAACGACTTTGGCAAATATCATTCTAATGGATTCCATTCTCATCACAAGAGAATATATATCGAAGTAACTGTGGCATTCGCGTTGCATGTAATCTACAATTACAAGCCTGGCCATTTTACTTCAATATAACCAACCGGTTTTGTCTTCCGACTAGTGATCCACTTAGGATCCAAAGGTTTTACAACTCGGAGGAAGAACAACCAGTTCCAAGTGTGATTCTTTAAGATATAATCTACTTCACTCTCGATAGCCTCTCTCGGTTGGTCCACCTGTAGAAGTCACCACTTCTACATATGTGCGAGGCTCATTTTCTAACAACCATGTCAGAAAATCCAATTTCTTTTCTAGTAAACAAGTTAGATTGTGCGCATCACACTCTAACATGTACGTCAGAAAATATGGACAAAAGATTTTTCAATCCTAGCTCTCTTGCTACGTCTGGCTTTGAGCTCGTTCTCTTTCATACCCTTCAACCATAGCTACGCCGAAAGTTCTTTCAACGTGCTAAGTCCTTTATTGAACCTACACGGAAATACATCTTCTAAGGAACGATGAATTTCTTGATTCAATTTATTGTGTTCTTATGTACATCCAGAGCGTAGGACTCGTGTACTAAGAACCAAAACGCACTTTTGGCAAGACACCCCCACATTTCGGATTAGTAGGAAAGCATCCTACGTATCCACAATTCGTAAAGAATTTCATGCGGGTAACCTTATTTAAAAGGTACTTACTTGTCCAAAGTATTGTCTCGCCTCACATACTTTGAGTAGACCCGAACATATCAACGTCTTGATATTTATGTTCGGCAAAAAACGTTCGATTGAGTGAATACCGTACCGTACTCTCGAGTACAATACCATCGCTTGCGCCGAAATCACCAATAGGTGTTTCACATTCACCACATCGATCGTTCATAACCGCATTAATCCACGATTAATTTGGTTTTCCCTTTTTATTCTTTAAAGAATAAACATGTGTTACACGCTAACACATCTCGTAGTGCTAACAAATTAGCCCTCACGAATCCATTCGCGTTTGACCAAAGGCACAAACCCGAATCAGTGCTTCCGAAATTAAGCACGAATCAGTGCTTAGTAGTGAAGCACGAAACATGCTATACCAAGCACGAATCATTGCCTCCCAAACTAACGTGCGATTCCCAAGCAATCTCTATTGCTTTAAATTATAAATTCACAGCAACATTCGGTTGCTTAAATT